TTTCTTAGATAAGGTCTCACAAAGCCACTAAACTGCCAAGGGTGGGCTTAAACCCTTATTCCTCCTGCCTCAGCTCCCCAAAGCACTGGGATTACAGGCATGTGCCATCATATCTGGCTCAAATTCAACTCTTATAGGAGAAGACTACTGTAGCAAAGCCACTTGACTATCACCACTCAGTCATTATATATCCTCTCAGCATTACTATATCTAGTTTGAATTTTTTAAAACTTATTTTGATGTAAATTGTGAATATATTATTGAAATAAAAACATATATCATGACTAAAAGTAGTAGCCTATCTTGTCTATTATCTAATTTTAGGCATATCACTTAGCTTTGATGATGCAAACTTTCCATCTATAACATGGGAAGATTATAATCTCTCTTTTAATAAGAACAAATGATGTAAGTATAAACTCTTTAAAAAACAGGACAAGAGGGCCGGGGATTTAGCTCAGTGGTGCAGCCACCTGCCTTGCAAGCACAAGGTCCTGAGTTCAATCCCCAGTACCAAAAAAAGGGACAAGAACTAATTAAAGTCCAAGTTACTCTTAGTTTAGATTCTTAATATTTAAGTAGTCTTACTAATTTATAGTTCTTTTGGGCATTAGAAATATTTCAATATAGGACTGGGGATTTAGCTCAGTGGTCCCGCCGCTTGCCTCACAAGCACAAGGACCCGAGTTCGATCCCCAGTACCAGAAAAAAAAAAAAGAAATATTTCAATATATTAGAAGATTGCAGCAAGTTCAAAGCCAGCCTGGACTACACAGTGAGTTCATGGCCAGCCTGAATTACATGGTAAGACCCTGTCTAAAAAAACAAAACAAGAAAGAAAGAAATTTGATTGGTCAGGGAAGGGTACAAAACTCCAAAAACAGCTAACTATTCCTCAAGATTTTAAGTTTCTTTTATATCTCTATTTATTTTATTCAGAGAACTTCGCTTTTTATTTAGACAAAGGTGTTTTCTAAAACAAAGATCAGTAGGTTTTCTAACAAATTCTAATAGTAACAGCATAATGGGTTTAGAAGGAATGATTTTCATCAATTCTAAGCATAGTTCTTCTAAAACTAAGTAGTCTATGTGCCCTAAGTACAAATGATTTAGCAATAAATATATTAGTAGCAGTTAATGACAGGATGTCGTAAACTTTGGTAGTGAGACTTGGTTTGAGGGAAAAAATTGTTAAATATATTGCCAAACAAATTCAAGGAGAGCTTTTATGAACTTCATAGTTGACAGCCATATGTTAGTGGGAAGAAAGAGTGCTTTCCACAAACTTCAACTTAAACTCTGAGAAAAGGATATAGACTTGTATTAAAAAGCACATTGTCTTAACTTTTATTCTTTTTCCCCCTCCTTTGAAAAGAAGAGTTCAGTACTTAGAACATTTGAATAAAGAGTGTTAGGAATTTCACAAATTTCTCAGACTGGATTATTTTTTTAAGAGAAATAATGAGAATACTTTTATTAGAAGTAGAGAACATCTTTTCTCTTGCTATAAATATCCAAATTAATAAAGAAAATAAAAATTGGAAATGCCAGACTGCCAAAACAGAGACTTTTTAAAGGCACTAATGATGGAACAAAAATGTAAATATTCAAAATTTTTGACCTGTCTCATAACAGACTCATTTGATTATCTGTATAGTCTCTGGGAAATACCTCCAATGTATTATTGTGGAAATAGTACAGAATAGAACAATATGTACTTTACAGGAATATAAGCTTTGTTATAATTCAAAATGTTTAAAAAACTCTACCAGTCCTTATGAACTAAAAATATCTCACAGCTTTGAAAAAAAATGCATTTTTAAACAAAGTAAAGAAACTTAAACTTGTCAGTTAAATTTCTAAATGTGGCCCTATGTATTATGTAAAGAAGTATGCAACTATCATAGGTTTTTAGCATTAATGAAGTCAGATGGAAAATATTTTTAAAAAGATCTTTCACCAATGAACAACTTTCATGTTATTATTACAGTGAAAAGCTAAAAACCTTTAAAAATAATCATACATTTCTCTACTATTATATATCAACATATAGTTATAATTGTCTATCAACCCTCCTAGTTCTTAAGATGATCTTTGCCCTGGAAAAAATTAAAATTAAAAAAAAAATGAGAATAATGGATAAACCTTTCCAGAAGTTGTGCTTGGTATTCAATAAAAGACACTTGGCATTTATATTTGCTTATTATTTTAAAATGTAATTTTGGGAGAAAAATTTTAATTACTTTTATGAAGGGCCTGAAGAAACCCTAGTGAGACATTCTGTGGAGAGGTCCTTTGTTAGTGTAACATCTGACCTTCTATATCTTTGGAAATCATGCAACTTGGCTAATGTAGTCCTTAAAGAATTAATCAAGCAGATTGTAAGACCCTAGCTACAGTGAAGCCAGCCAATTATGAGTTGCTCAGAAATTCATCATTGGCATGTCCAACCACATTTTCCCACATAAAGATTAGTAGAAATATGTGCAAGCAAGGCCCATTCCCACCACAGCACAGCTACAATATGTGTTTAGTGAAACTCAACAAACTTTTGCCTTAGTAAAACAGATAATTTATTTGGAAATCTTTTTTATTCCTGACTTTACCCTAATGTCTTTTTTTCTGCCAAATGGCAAAGATTGCCCTATTTAGTTAAAATCTAAAGTAGAGACTTTTACATTCAAACACACCTCTCAATTCAAAGCACTAAAGTCATCTGCCACAAGCCTGAACTCATCAGTAAGTTAGTAAAATCCCCAAAGACCATCTTTAAATCTTCACTTTTATGATAACTCCCTTCCAAACCTTACTTAGAAGAAAGCTTTCTCTGCAAGAGAGAAATGAAAGGGGCCAGAGCAGATGAAGACTGGTTCTCTAAGGAGAGGGCAGTGCTGCTCTTAAATAAAGACGCTCCTTTCAGATAAGCAGAATCAGATTCCAGTTCAGTTGGTTTGCTGGCTACCCTTACTTTGAACTTTCATATTTAACCCAGCAGGCTTCAAAGCAGGTGAGAAAATAACCTACCACTTAAAAGCAATTTTTTCTTTTTCAGGAATTCTGGCCTTGGAGAGTATCAGCTCTGATATTAGCACATTCCTCATCTCTAGGGATTTATGTAACTTTTCGTTGCTCTATGTCTAATGTCAAACCAGATTTTCATCTCAGCTAGGAGAAAAATCGGGGGGAAAAAATCCTCATTTGGTAAATATGAAATCTTATTCCATATAGCCTTATAGCATGTAAAAGAAGAGATATTATAACCCCTAACCATTCTAGTTCATTCCCTTCCATTTATCTAAATCTGATATACAGTGAGAATTATTAAAAATTATTAATCCCAAGGACCTGGCATCATAAAAAAGCAAACCTTATAACAAATACATTTTTAAAACATTCAAATTGAATTTGCTCCAGTATGTAAGCTAATATAAAAAGATATTAGTCTAGGTGTGGTGGCACATGTCTGCAATCCCAGCACTTTGGGAGGCTGAGGCAAGAGGGACTGAAGTGGGTGTGAAGCCAGCCTAGGGTACGTAGAGAGTTCAAGGACAGTAGAACTATATAGTGAGATGATGTCTCAACATACAAAAAATAAACAACAACAAAAATACCAAAAAGATATTAGATGAGGAAGAGACGAAGGTAATGATGAATAAATTTAGGAAATTTTCTTAAATGACTTTGCCTTACTAAATAGAAGAACAAGTATGTTTCATCAGTTCCTACTTAATTGGTCATCAGATATCTGACTTAATTGAAAATCCTAACATAGGTAGCTTGAACTTATCAACAGGGTTGCCTGTGGCAGGAACTGGAAACATTTTTCCTCTTTTTGTGGTTAACATATACATAATGTACTAAATGTATAGTACTAACAGTATGATACTGGGCTGGGGATTTAGCTCAGTGGTTCCACCACCTGCCTCAAAAGCACAAGGTCCCAAGTTTGATCCCTGGTACCAAAAAAACCACAAACAAACTAATAGTATGATACTTGTATCATCATTTAAATGACACTCAACTACTATTTATTCTTCAGTTTTTATGGGAAAATGCATTTTGAGCTTACTGTTAGGACTTATCTCCTTTATAGCTTTTTCTTTCTTCCCCCCGGTACCAGGGATTGAACTCAGGACCTTGCGCTTGCAAGGCTGGCAACAGCGACACTGAGCTAAATCCCCAGCCCTTATAGCTGTTTTTTGGTGATAAGGATGCCAATGACAGGGAAGAACAGCTAACACCTACTTTTTACTGTGGGTAGACATAGTTCTAAATGCTTGAGATATTTTAACTTTAACCTTCACTCAAACCTATACAGGAGCACTATTCTCATTTTACAATTAAGGGTAGAGATAATGAAATAACTTACCTGAATTTGCACAACCAATAAGTGTCAGGGATAGAATTTAAAGCAAAGCAGTCTGGCACCACAGTCTCCACCCATAACCGCTCTCAATTCTACCCCTTCTCCATTTGGACGAGGTAGCACTATTCAGATGTTCCACATTCCACAGATTAGTGAGAGAGTAGAGCAAGGTTTCTCAAGCTCTAAATGTGCATATAGGATAACCTGGGAATCTTGTTAAAATGCAGATTCTGATTCAGGAGGTCTGTGGCAGTGCCTGGGGCTTTACATTTTTTACCAGCTCCTGGGTGAGAGTTGGGGCCCCTGGGATATAAACCACACCTTATGAAGTAGTGCAGAAGTAGAATTTGAAAGTCTAGTTCCTTTGTTGTTTGTCTGTCAAGGCATTTATATGTTGTGTATAGAAGCTGGAGACTGCCCACACTGTAATCATTTTCCATTAACTCTTAAATAGGACCTGCCTTTGAGACTGCTGCATGCCAGATCCTAGTTTGATCATACTATCAGTAAATATTTATATTTTAGAAATTTAAAATGTACATGTAAAAGCCACAGAGATAAAATATGGCTGTAAAAGTTCACTGACAGTGACATTTTAAATTTTATATATCATCAACTATACAAAAACCAAAAGTTAAGTGAGTAAATCTTGTTTATTGTACATCAACTAGAATCACAGTATATCAATAACTTTTAGTCTTTTTTTTTTTAAATCTTAAAAAGAAGCTTCCACTTTAAAATATGTAATTCTTCATTCTCAGGCTCTGCTAGAAGAGTGCTAAGGAACTTATACGATGTAATCTTAAAGGCTCTTCTGGTGCCATTAGTGACCTCTTAGGCAAAGGCAGTCACTGTAAACGAACACTGATGGATAGAGCATACAATGAGTACACTCCACATTAATTTCAGCCAGTACACCATGGAAATACACTACTAACAGTTGCTACATATCTATTCCAGATTTTAGGTCTCTCTCTTTGCTCAATTTTCCTCCTTCCCACTCTAATGCCTGAGAGAAATCCACAAACCATTTCTCCCATTGCTTGCCTATGTTTTAAAAACACAGTTGCACATTTTCCCCCAGCTGTTAAAATTGATGGGCTTCCCTTTCTAGTCCATTTTTTTCCCATGCAGCATCACACAGTAAGATCATTTCAATTTGAGATACATTCACTCCCCAATCAGCACCCTTGCAAACAACAGTTACAGTATGATCAATCATTAAGCTTCCTTTTTACACAAAAAGGAAATAGAATAGTCAGTTTCCAACCCAAATATCTATACTCCCCGAACAACAGTGGAAAGTCATTCTTCTTGACGCCTGACCCAGAATCAAATGAATACTCAGACTCCTAGGCCTACAGCCAGTGGCAACTGAACATATTGTACAGTTGACCTTCTGGGAAAATGGGAAATCAGTGCTCTAACCATTGTGCCAGATTAAAGTCAACTAATCTGTAAGGCACAAAACAAAATATTCTTAAGGCAGGCAAAGAAATTGTGAGGAAAACAGGGAGTTAGAATGGAGACATACAGAGAAAAATATATATTGCCAAGCAAAGACTAGTTTTTCTAGTGTTCTCAGGGCTTTCATATTTGAAAACAAAATGAATTATCATTTTCTTTTGGAGTTTTAACTGCTTATCACCCAGTAAACTTATAAAGATGTACAAGAAAGATGCATTCTTTTATGAGGCTGAGAGACTTAAAGGGAATTCTCTTTGGTAATTTTACCTTGAGCCAATGACATTATGAATAGTGATGGGGAACCCTCTTTAATATTGGTCCTCAAGTACTTCCTGGGTCAGAAAATGGGGAAGCAGTTCAAAATTAAAGTATAAAAATAAAAATAAAGGCCTATACATGGCTCTATACCCAAGTTGGGGAAGGTCAATAAGAAGATACAGACACTGGTAACTGGGAAAACCTTTTAATATAAAACATTCTATATCTGGGGCCATCTTACCTAGTTATTCTCTATCCTAGTTGTACTCTTTAATATAAAGTTCAGCAAATCCTCAGAACTAATCATATCATTTAAATGGAAAAATCAAAACAGTTGGTTACAAAATATGAAAATTTTTTAAGTACCAAAGAAAATGTACTAAAGGCAAAAAAGAGTTGGATTATTCTAGTAATGAATGCTGTCTATCACCAAAGGTGATCTACAAACAACTTTATAATGTTATAGCACTGTATTCTTTAAACTTTAAAGCAACAGAAGTATAGCTCAAATCACCAGAAACTTAGGTTTGCATATTTATGGCAGTAACTTTACAAACAAATATCTTCTACTGCTCATCTGAGTTAGCACAAACAGGTCAGAGATGTTTCTTGTGTGCTTTACAAATACTCTATACAAGTCCTTGAGATCATACTTACAGCTTTAGCAAAAACACCCATGATTTCAGGAAATTGGTGTGTGAGAAGGGCTATCATTGCTGTAGAAGAACACAGTCCTGCTGTAAAATGGATGAAAAAAGGAAGTTCCTTCTTTGGATATACAGAAACATGATGAAAGGCTGTAAGGAACAAAAAGTAGGAGTGAATTTTATTTTACAATATAGTTTAAGCTAGTTTTAATATTTTAAGACTAAATCTATTTTAAAAACTAAAAAGGAAAATATTTTTTAAGAACAAGAAGTCTCTGGTCAAACAAGATACAAGAAGAAAGTTATCCATTATTTAGTTCAGCATCAATAGCATTTCTAAATAGACAGATGACTGTACTGGGGTCTGGGAACAGGATGGCATCGTGGGAAAGAACACTGATTACAAAGTCATGCTGAGGTGTTTTTGAAAAACAGCTTTGTAAGTTATTAGTGTGTGATTTTTGAGTAAGTTGCTAAACCCTAAAAGTTGCTATGGAGTTGTTATGATGAACATTGTAAGTACTTAGTAAAATGTGAGTTAATATTAATTCTTGTTCTTTGGAAGCTCAGAAAATAGTATAAAGAGAGATATGTCATAGGGGATTTTCTCAGAAGCATCAGTTAATAATTTTACCAAGATATGAGTATGTTCTCTATATGACATTTCATTGCTCACAGTAAAAAAGAGCTAGAAAACTAAAGCCCCAGAGTTTGCCCATAAATTAATGCCTTTTCTTACTCTACTGCATTTACATATTCAAGTATTATTTTTCTGATTCCAGATTTCATTACTGATTATATTCAAGTATTTATATTTTATTTAAAACTTGAAAAGTACCTGAATAACAATGTAGAGATGAACCTATTATAGTGCTTGACACACAGTAGGTACTTGATAAATTTCTCTTAAACTGAGAACTATTCTGAGACTTCATTAGTCCAGGAAGTTGACAGCTCAGGGCTGGACGCTAACTCAGGAATTCCTGATATATAGTAATATCCTGCATTAGTAAGGGATGACTAATTCAGTGCTGAACCAAGGTCAGCTATAAATTTCACTTTTTCAACACAATGATTAACAGAGAAGATTACATCTAAGCTTCCTGCAATAGCTACAATATTTTTATGTATCTTATACAATTTCAGAAAGTATATACCAAAAACCAAATTCATTTTAAAAGCGACAAAATTTCCAGAGTCTTGAGGAGCCATGTTTAAAGTACAAACACAATGGAACTGAATTTTTTAAATTAGAAACATCACAGCTACTCAGGAGAATGAAACAGGAGGATTACAAATTCAGGGCTAGCATGGGCAACCTAGGCTCTTTTTCAAAAAAACTAAAAAGGGCTGAGTTGGAAATATAGCTCAGTACAAGGCCCTGGGTTCAATCCTCAGGAGACAGACAGACAGACAGACAGACAGACACACACACACACACACACACAGAGACAAGAGACAGACTGACTATGCTTTCAGCACACAAATAGCTCTTAACCCCTTTTCCTCTGTTCTTCAGCTATTACAGGCCAATTTCTTGTAGCAAATCAAAAGAAACAAACGTTAGTATTTCAGAAGGCAGGAAATAAAACAGAAAAATTAATAATGTCAAGTAAACTGTTTAGTATTTTATGGTTTATAAAGTATTTGTTTGATTTTTTTTCACTAACCCTAAGAGATAGATGGTATTATTCCCATTTTATAAGGCAGAAAACTACATAGTTTGAGTAAGAAAATTTCCTTAAATATAAGCTTTTTATACTGCAAGAGAGACCTAATTATTTCTTTCTGGATTGCTTTCTGTAGATTTATTTGTCAGTCAATGTTTGGCTAATATATCAATATAATGAATGACTGACTGGTACAGAAACACTCCCTTGGAACAAAAGTTCAAATTTCATCACTAGTTTGTAGAGAAAAATTTATCAGGAGGCGTAATAGACAACTAAATAGCTATGTGAACTAGGGGAATAGTTCAAGTCTGAACTTAAGAGGTCCATAAGCAAATTCCAGAATGCTGTAAGGGATATCAAGGTTGAAGGAATTAAAACAACAAAAAAAATTAAGTACTCTTGAGTATCAGAACTCTACATTATTAAATATTTGTTCATTCTACCAAAGGCAAGGCAGAGACAGGAAAAATAGTCTAAGAACATATATTATACTCAGACAAAGTCCTCTAGCTTACCCTTTTACTGCAATGTCCCAGAGTTTGCACTCTACATGGAGTCAGAATTAATAAAGCCTTACCAAAACAAATTGCCTGGTCTTATAGCATGTGACTCTGATATAGGAAATTACTCCTAATTTATTCATATTAATATGTAAAGTTGGCCTTAGATAACTTCTATATTACCAAGGGTACATTATTTTAATCTAAATATATTAGCTTAATAGATTTTATCATATCAATGTTTTAAAATTAAAGATCCATTCCTTTGCTTTAAAGTCCTTATTCCTATTGAAATGGAAAAATAATGACAAGTACAAATACTACCACCTTCACCCCAGGAAGGAAAATGAAATTTCTCTCACTAATGATCTCCTAATTGCCAAAGTCAATAGATTCTTCTCAGTAACCGCCTTCTCAGATACTCCTCCTCACTTGGAAATTTCTTCCTCCTTTTAGTTTCTAGAATATCTAGTTCTGGCTCTTGTACTATCTTTCTGACCACTCCTTCAATAAATCTCCAACTATTTTCCTGCCATCAATTCCTTAGACATTTTTTTGTTTTTGGTACCAGGGATCGAACTCGAGTCCTTGCGCGTGCGCAGCAGGCGGCGAAACCACTGAACTAAATCCCCGGCCCTCCTTAGACATTTTTGTGCCATCATTGTTCTATCCTTAGTTCAGTTCTTAACACTATACAGTTTCTCTTAGTGATCTCATTTTTGCCTAGAATGACAACTTCCTTCTCTTTTCTCCTCTCCTCCCACCCTGAACTCCCCTCCTTTTCTTCCTTTTTTACCTCAGAGACTGTGTTTTCCCATGTTGCCCAGTTTGGCCTCAAACCCATGATCAGTTTGCTAGTATTCTGCTGAAGATGTTTGTATTTATATTTATAAGGGCTACTATTCTACAGTTTTCTTGTACCTCTGTCTGGTTTTGGTATCAGGACAATACAGGCCTCACCAAATGAGTTGGAGACTATTCCCTCCTTTATTTTCTAAATGAGTTTGTGAGGGCTGGTTATTATTTCTCTTATAAATATTTTTTAAAAATGACTGCTGTTTTTAGTATCTTTAATCTTTGTGTCCTTCCCTGCCTCTAGCATATGATTTTGCCCAACAAAATTTGAAAACGACTGAATCATTATGCAATTATATCCTAGAAATGGCTATGAACGTAAACAGTCCCAAAAAGAGTCTTATTTCTTCCTTTTTTTTTGGTGGTACTCAAGATTGAATACAGGGCATCTGTACTGAGCTATACCCTCCGCCCATTTTTTAATTATTTATTTTGAGATAGGGTATCACTAAGTTGCTAAGTGGCCCAGACTGGGCTCCAACTTGTGATTTCCTGCCTCAGCCTCCCAGAGTACTGGGACTGAAGGTGAAGGTATATACTACTATGCCTGACTCAAAGGCTTTTTAAAATGAAGAATACTATGGGAAATGCTATGTTTGACTATGGTTTGTGTCCCTTCAAAGGTTCATGCGTTGGGAACTTGGTCCCAAGTGGGCAGTGTTAGGAAAGAGAACCCTTAAGAGGCGGGGCCTACTGGGAGGTCCTTGGGTCACTAGGGGTGTGTCCTTGGAAGGAACTGTGAGGTGCCAGTTTCTCTCTGTTTCTGGATGGAGACAGAATCACTGACTTAGCCCTGCACAGGCTCCTGCCACTGCTATCCACTTCTGAGCTGATGCCAAGGGTCAGCCCTTACCACAAAGCTTGCACTATTCTGTTTGCATACTGAACTTCCAAAACTGTGGGCCAAATAAATCTTTCTTGGTAGGTAGCCTATATTGGGTATTTTGTTATAGTGATAAAAATGTGACTAATACAGGAAACAATTTAAACAATTACTTGTAAGTTTAAAAGAATGAAATATTTACTTACTAGGTAACAGCTCTCTATCAGCAGTCTCTGTGCAGCTGGGATAAGGGTAAAATAGATGTCCTTTCTCTAATGGGTATGGAATCATTCTAAAAGCTGAGAAAAAAATACATATGTTGACATTCAATTTTATCTCATTTGCCGTCATCCTATGTCAAAAATCAAAACTCTTTTGGAGATATGTTTTTACAAAATTATCACATAGTGGTTTTTTTTCTTAGACATTTTAGATGAAAGTAACCAAAAGAATTAATAAGGGAAAAATAAGATTTATTTAGAGAACAGTCCAATGGTTTAGTTTAACTAGAGCAAAACTAAAGGCAGTGGTGGGTGGTAAGATTTATTGGGAGCCAGGTGTGGTAGCACACACCTGTAATTTTAGCACTTAGGAGGCTAAGGCAGGAGGATTGACATGAGTTTGAGGACAGCCTGGGCTACATAGCAAGTTCAAGGATAGCCTGAGACCCAGTCTCCAAAAAAATAAATAAATAAATAAAAGATTGGGTCTTTCTTTGCCTCAGTCTCCTTATCACAATAATGGACTTAACTCTACCTTTATAAACTCTGCTTATTAAAGAAACCTTCATAAAGTTGTTGTAGCCCTAACTGTTGGAAATCTTTTAAGGGAGTTCTCAATGGTTCCTAAATTCATGTGTGAAGTTCACCAAAGTTTTCTACGAGCAGAGCTTAATCTAGCTTAGAATTCACCAAAGTATAACCCTTTGACCAGATCTAACCTATCATCTGTTTTTGTAAATAAAAATTTATTGGGCTGGGGATTTAGCTCAGTGGTTTTGCCTCCTGCTGCGCAAGCACAAGGAGCCAAGTTTGATCCCCAGTACCTAAATAAATAAATAAATAAATAAAAATAAAAATTTATCGGAACACAGCCATGCTGTTCATTTATATATTGTTCACATATATTCACTAGGTGTGTGGCACCTGCCTGCAATCCCAGCACACAGGATTGTGAGTTTGAGGCCAGCCTGGGCTACATAATGAGTTAAAGGCCAGTCTGGACTACATAGTGAGACCCTGTCTCTAACAAACAATAAAAGATTGTTTTCATGATGTAAGAATTGAGTAGTTGTGACAAAGACTATGTGGCCTGCAGAGCCTAAAATATTTACTACTTGGCCCTTTACAGAAAACTTTGCCCACCTCTGATTTAGATTATCACCAACTCTGGTGGAGTTATCAAAGAAGAAACCCTTATCAATCTGTTCCATTAGCTAAGCACTCATCAGAACTGTTATAAGGTTTTTGTTTTTCCTTCAGTGGTTGGTTCTATAAATGTCTGTCAAAATATAGACTTTGCTTTATCATAATAAAAAGTAATTACTTGCCCAAAGTCAATCAGCAAATCAGTGACAACATGTGGAAATCATTCATCAGGATGCATGGAAATATACGATATAAATCACATACTTATTGAATATCCACTATGTTCCAGACAGAATGCCAGGCAAAGAAGACACATATAAGATAAATGAGATATAATAGCTGGTTTGGGGGCTTATAGATTACTAGAGAAAACCTGACTACTCAAAGGCACTCAGTATATAATCTCGGTTTGATTAATCTTTTTATTATCAAGAGCAGTATATGACTATTTCCAAATAATTAATGCAGAGGTTCCCAAATTTTCTTGGTTCAAGGACTCATGGTGCCCTTCACAGCCCAGGTTTATTTTTTATTTATTTATGTGTGTGTGTGCTGGAAATGGAACCCAAGGCCTCATACACACTAACCTTGCCTTCTACCACTAAGCTACATTCCCAGTGTCAGAAATGTTTTATGATTCCATAGGTTGAAAAAAAACTAACAATTTCAGTGAGTTCAAACAACTTTAAAAGTTCATGTTCTAACATGTTAGCAATTTAAAAAAAATAAACATAAATTGAAAATAATTTTTTCTTATTTTTAAATAACCATTATTTCAGCAGTGCATGGTGGTGCACACCTGTAGTCTCAACTATTCAGGAGGGCGAGGGGGAAAGATCACTCAGCCCATGAGTTCAAGGCCAGTATAGACAACATAGAAAAACCCATCTCAAAAAATGCCAAAAAGCCAAAACTATCATTTCTTACTCCTAAGATGTATGCATGAAACTGTTAGACAATGCACAACTACTTAAACCTTGGAATCAGACTGAATACCATCATCCTTACAGCCTGTTCCACACTGATTTTTGTGTGGTACTCTTTTAAAATAACAGCAAACTAACAAAACCCAGCTTTGCAAAAATATAGAAGGAATGGAGAGTGATACAATGTTGAAAGTGAACTACCTGGAACTACCAATTTGAATAGTGTCTTACAGAGTTGAGTATTACTGTATTTCCATTAAAACTTTTCCCATGACATCTTTATGAACTGCTACAATGCTCCAAGGGCCTCACTGTAAATACTGGGAACTAAAAAGGCTAAACATTTTTAGTGAATAAGCACTGAATTTACTTTTGAAGTTTTAGTGATAGTTGTGGCTTACCTTCCGAGATAATTATGAATGTGCAATTGATAAAATATTTTGATTAAGCTTTACTTTCTTCCTCTCCTTTTTTTTTTTTTTTAATTTTTTTGGTGCTGGGGATCGAACTCAGGACCTTGCACTTGCCAAGGCAGGCTTCGGAACCATTGAGCTAAATCCCTGGCTTTTTTTACTTTTTTAATGATTAAGAAGCTACAAGTAAGAGATCTGTTAGTTAAAACACTCCAATGTATTCTCCAGAGAAAAATATACAAATGGCCAATAAACACATGAAAAGATGCTCAATATCACTAATCATTAGAGAAATGCACATCAAAATCACAATGAAATTCTACTTCATACCCATCAGGATGGCTATTATCAAACATATATCAAAGCAGGGGTGGAGGGGGTGGGGGGATGTTTAGCTCAGTGGTGCCGCCACCTGCCTCGAAAGCACAAGGTCCTGAGTTCGATCCCTGGTACAAAAAAAAAAAAAATCAAAGCAGAAAATAACACATGTTCACGAGGATGTGGAGAAATTGGAACTCTTGTGGATTGTGGATGGGAATGTCAGATGATGCAGCTGCTATGGAAGACAGAATGGTGATTCTTTGAAAAATTAATTTTATATCCAGCAATTCTACTTCTGGGTATATACAAAAGAATTGAAAGCAGGAATTCAAACAGATATTTGTATACCAATATTCATAGCAGCTTGGGCCAGGGATTTAGCTCAGTGGTTCCACCGCCTCCTCGCAAGCACAAGGTCCCGAGTTCGATCTCCGGTACCAAAAAAAACCAATATTCATAGCAGCTATTCACAATAGTCACAACATAGAAATAATCCAAATGTCCACCAGCAGTTGATTATATACACAAAATACAGTATATAATGAAATATTACATTTTTTAAAAAGAATAAAATTCTGAAACAAACTATATGATGAACCTGGATGATACACTAAGTGAAATCAGCCAGAAGCAAAAGGACAAACATTGCTATGATTTCCCCATATGAGATACCAGAGGTCATACTCATAGAGACAGAAAATACTATGGTGGTTGCCAGAGGCTGGGGAGAAGTAAGAATGGGAAGTTATTATTTAATGTGTACAGAATTTCCATTTGGAAGGATGAAAATGGCTGGAGATGGATGGTGATAATGGTTGTACAACAATGTGAATGTATATAATGCCAATGAACAGAACACAGAAATGGTTAAAATGGTAAATTTTGTTATATTTTACCACAATTAAAATATGAGAACAGGGTTGATAGTTACGAGGAAAATAGGGGCTGGGGATTTAGCTCAGTGGTTCTGCCGCCTGCCTCATAAGCACAAGGTCCTGAGTTCGATCTCCAGTACCAAAAAAAAAAAAAAAGAGGAAAATAGTTTCATGTTGTATACATCTGAAAATAAAATAAAACCAGACGAATTTTTAAAATATGAGAATATGGCTGGGGGTGTGGCCCAGTAGTAAAGTACATGCTTACCCTGAATGAGGCTTTGGGTTTTACAAAAAATTAGAGCAATCTCTTAACCACATTAAAAAGTTAACAAGCTAAAGGGCATAACTTTTCATTTTCTTTCCTTATATTTAACTTAAATGAACAAATGACAGAATACCATGACAGTTTCTCACTCTGCTCTTCCTAAATGTGGCATTAATACAAATACATAACCATTTCTTTTACCAATAAACCAAATATAATGCCACTAAGTTCACTTTGAAACCAATCTAAACAAATTCTTACATAAACTCAGACAATCTCATTTAAAAAGACAGACTTTTAATGCAATGAAGGGTCACAGATTAGTGTTACATTTAAAAAAGAATACTTACTGCCTTCCCATGTACACTGCAACAGATTAAGAGCACCTTCTATTCGTTTCCAGTGCTGAAGATGAAAGAAAGCATAGGCAACTGCTTCACTGTCACCCCGCTTCAGAATATGTTCTGGTGGTAAAATCAAACTTTTCATTTCTAGTAAATACTGCAAGAATAACATATACATACATACAACAGAAAAAAATTAAATTCTGCTTAGTTCAAACATCTATAAAAATATATTCAAAGTCCTATAAAGTCAAATTGATTTTTCAAAAATCATATACATTAAAATAGTTCAAATGACATGGAGGATCTTTTGAAAATTTGTGTATAAAATGCTTACAGATGCAAACTATAGTTTTTATAGCAAATTCTAAAAATCAGAATATTCCTATAGGTAAAAATATGGTATCAAATGGCCTCTGTGACCTTATTAAATACAAAATGGAAACTCAAGCTGAGGAAATAATTTGAGAGCAAACATTTATTTCCAAAAAAGAATTACATTAAAATTATAATACAATTTTGGAATAACTTTGTGGCAACATTCAATTCTTTGTTCTTTTACTTCCATTTCATAGGCAAAAAAACTTAATTGTGGAAAAATTCAAGTAAACTCATACTTACTAAGTGCAAAGCATTATGCTTGTTAGAAAATATCACCACCACCACCAAACCATTCTCCCTGTTCTCTGAGCTTCACAATGCAACGGGGAGAGAGTTCTTAGGTAAATAAATATAGCCAGGCTATGGTGAGCACCTTTTAGGGCCACAGAACACATGCACAGATATACGAGTAGGGAATATTTTTGTTTTAAAAAATATCTTTTTTTTTTTTTTTTGGTGCTGGGGATTGAACCCAGGTCCTTGCACTTGTGGGGCAGGTGGCAGAACCACTGAGCTAAATCCCTGGATAAAAAATATCTTTATTGAGATAGAATTGACATACCTTAGAATTCATTTATTTAAAGTGTACAATTTAATGACTTTTACTATATTCACAGGTATGTGCAACCATTATCACAGTCAATTTCATCACTACAGAAGGGAACCCAGTACCCTTTAGTCATCACTCTCTACTCCCTCATTCCCCAAACCCTTAATCAAGCACTAACCTATTTTCTATCTCTATAAAGTTGCCTATAGTGAATATTTTATACAAATGGAATCATACTATATGTGATCTTTTGTGATTAGTGTCTTTCATTTAACATATTCTCAAGGTTCATCCAGGTAGTAGCACATATCAGTACCTCATTTCATTTTGTGGTTCAGTAACAACTCATTGTACGGATACATGGATATATCAAAATTTGGTTCTCCACTCATTGGTTAACAGACATTTGGTTGTTTTTACCTTTTGGCTGTTATGAATGATACTGTTATAATCATTTGTGAATAACTTCTGGTGTGAATATATGTTTTCATTTCTCTTAGATACAAACATTGGAGTAGGACTTCTGTGTCACATGGTAACTATGTTTAGAATGTATCATGATTTAGAGGCTAGAAATAAACCACTTGATGGGATTTGAGCTGATATTTAAAGATGGGTAGTTATGTGGATGAGCAGCCTGTGGGTGGGAGAGGGAGAAGAACAGGAGAGCATGTTCAAAGCACAGGCCCATCTGGAACACAGGCAATGAACCAGAAAGGCACAGCCGCGGTTAAGGGATTGGAAAGTGTACCTGTTACAGTCTATCAATTCTTCTTCACATATGAAACGAGATTTATCACTGACTCTTGAAGAAAATACTCATTCTAATATAGTCCATACAAAACAGTATAATCATAACTATAATACCAATCAAAGGATAGTAATTACATAAAGAAAGATACAAAATTAACCATGTTTATATCATCTTTCTACTAAGTGGTCAACTGAAAACAAAACCTTCAAAAAATATTTAGTTAGCTAAATCCTTCCTCCAAAGACTAAGGCAAGAATGGATTTTCCTTCTAGAGCAGGTCTGAAACAACCTCTTTGGTTCTAAACAATTTGATAGTATATTATGTGTCAAGCCATATTAACTTCTATTATAAAATATAAAAAGAGAAACATTCCAGAAGTGTCTCAAAAGACAGATTCTTACATATCAAATTCCAGTAGCCCAGGTTATTATATAAACTGAGAACACCAATAAAAGGCTAAATTTATGAAATACTTTGTAAGACTGCTACAAGCAATAAGACTCTGGGGGGAATCTTAAAAAAAGAAAGTCTGTAGTGGTTTTGAAATTTAAGCCTTAGGTTATTAACTAATATTTATGTACTCATCATATTAATTCATCTAAACAATTTTTTCTTCTTTATTTATGAAATGTGCCTCTCCAACCATTACTGAGCTTAATGCCTATCTTTAATTACTCTTACTCTTGATGTCTCTGGCTCTGTTCTCAAAGTGTAAGAATGCAGTCTGCTCATCGATTTATTTTAGCAGATGTCACAAACTATGAGATTATTTACTAATCCACTTTGGGGACTTAACAGTTCCCATTCAGTTTCTTAAAGGAATGCAGCAGAGGTTGTGTCCTGGTCAAGCAAAGCCCATTTGCTGCCTGGTTGGGTTCTCTTCCCTTAGTGCCTTGGGCCTATATTCAGGAGGGTAATATTCTTTCTAATCCTCTCTAATCCTTGCCCATTTTTTGAAACACAGTAAAAGATCACTCACACCAGGCGGCTGTGGGAAAATGGACTCAAATAGCTGACCTCTGACATGACTCCTTATGCCCTCTGCAAGTGCACTAAGAGCTTCTTCACTAGGTAGCAAAGAAAATGTGGCAGTCACAGTGGAATCACCATCATAAAAAGAGTATCTTATTTTCAGAAGAAAACTTTATTTTTACACCAAATCCTTCCTACTAAATTCTGCTTTTATTTTACAGATACAAGGGGAGAAAAATCCAAAATGATTTTCAATGAGTTTTAGAATCCAGGAGGTTTAAATGAAACCCCAAAATGGTAATTATTTAGTATACCAGCAACCACTTAGCAAATGTAGGCAAAGATATTCAGATAATAATTATTCAGTAAAACTTAGAAAATATCAATGAAAATATTTTTTGAACAGCAACTATATATTTATATTTTCACTGTTTTAAAATCTAAATATCAATACAAGAGGTAAATAAACATGTGACAGACACTCGGACATTATAATTCAGGATTTTATATTTTAAAATATTTTGCTAGGTAATTATTTTTTAAAAACCTTCCCTCCACTACCTGAGATTTATTATCATGTCCTTCCTATCAGCAGATGTCCTTTTCAATTTGAATTTACAGCAAAGCGTTTTTTTCAGTTTCTAATTTGATACTGAAATAAAACTTGGCTCCTAAAATATAAAAGAAAAATTTTAGTTTAAGAAAAATATATTCCATGAGCTGGGGTAATGGGCAGAGATAAGCATGTACTCCACATGTACAAGGCCGTGGGTTTGATACCTAGCACCTGCACACACACACACACACACACACACACGTATTTAGAGTAAGATACAGAATTATTACTTTTTTTTCTCTTCATAAACTGCTAACTGCTATCCAGGGCTTTCTGCTACCCAGTATAGGCCACTGGTTACTGCACAATAGAAACCATACCCTTCATATTCAACTCTAGTACCTAACATATAATTCAACCCAAAGCAGGCACTAACATACTTCAGAACTGATTTGATCTGATATACATGACTATCATGTCTTTGAGCTCATATTTCAGTTTTTACTTAAAGATATTTTCTAACTCTGGGCAAACTAAAACTAAACAAAAACAAAACCACCTAACTATCCAGACTTTACAGTTTTTTAAATAGTGCTAAGAATTGAAGACTTTACCTTTCTAAGAATATGAAAGGTTAAAAACTGAATGCTGCTTTATTTTGTTTTGGTCTTTTATTTCTTCTGAGAAAAGCAAACAGTGTACAAAACTGCAAATATAACAAATCTAATTTATGTTTATCTAGATTTCTTTTTTATAAATAATACACACTTTTTTGGGGGTGTGCTGGGGATCAAACCCAGGGCTTTGCACATGTTAGGCAAGTACTCCACCACTGAGCTAAACCTCCACCCCCTATGAATAACATATTAATTACATTTTTCTGAAAAAAGTGGATAAAACTGTTATGCAACTTACTCTTTACTTCACATATCTTGTATAACTCTTTCAGTTTCTATATAGATCAAACATTTAAAATTATATAGTAATCCATTAAAAGCTGAGGTACTCCATAAGGAAGAATAAGATCATGCTGAAATTGCACTACCATCCTTTTAAAAGGTAAAAAATAACATAACCAAAATTTGTGAAAAATGGCTTAAAAATTTCAAGAAATCATGGGTATAAAATTTTACTCCTGTGAATATAGACAGACTTTGAAAGCAACATAGTTTAATTTTTTTTCATGAAGTTTATATTTTTTTCTTTTCTTTTTTTTGGTACTGGAGATCGAACTCAGGACCTTGGGCTTGCGAGGCAGGCGGGAGAACCACTGAGCTAAATCCCCAACCCTTCATTAAGGTTATCAGTACATTTTAGGTATACAATATGCTGACATTCATCATTGGGAATTTGTACCTTTACATGATATATCTTGATTCTTGTTTTTTTCCCTATTCCCCTGCCCTCCCTTACACCCCTCCACCCCTCCCTATTTACAAAGACTTTGTTTTCATTTTTTTCTTTTCTTATATTTTTTTCCTTTCCCTTTCCCCTATTCCTCTCACTTTCTCCTCCCCTTTAGACCATTTCTTCCTGTTAGCAACATAGTTTTAAACTACAGACATATCTATTTATCAGTGTTTGTTACATGCTAGGTAAAGTATTGCACATTAAGTGACGAATAAGACAAGTACTCTCCTCTTGTTTGTGTGGAGTAGGGAGAAACATAAAAAACAAGACCCAAATCCAACAAACGAAAAAGGTATAACTGAAGTACTAAAGGAATAGAGAAGAGAAAACTATCATCTCTACTCAGGAAAGCTGGGAAAGACTCCTTTTAAAAGGAGACAACAATATAATGACATTCATCATTGGAAATTTGCACCTTTACATAATCTCTCTTGGTTCTTATTTTTCACCCTTGCCCAGCCCTCCCTTCAACCCCTCCATTCCTCTCTATTTACAAAGATTTTGTTCCTATCTTTCCATTTTCTCATATTAAT